AACAAATAAGAAGTGTGAAATGGAACGGTGACAAATTCATTACTCTGGTTAATTATCCATTTTGTTTACGGGCTTAATTAGCAAGGGCTGGATTGATAGTTGTTGTAAAGAAAGTTAAAAATGTTATTTTGTTATTCTTTCCAAAAGCTAGACTGTCGTAATAACAGTTTTTGAATTTGCATCGAAATTAGAAAGTAGGGAAAACGCATAAATATTATATTTTTTGTTTTTAAATATAAACTATTATATATGATTTTTCGCATTTAAAAAAAAATTATAACGATAATTGCTACAGACGACAACTTTATGATTCAAAAACTTTCCTGAATGCAAAGACGCAGACCAGAAATATGGTGTTTTGAAAGTATTGCATTTGTATAATCTTTTGCACACCGCGAATATCGAAATTAGACTTTTAGCATCATAAAGCCTCAGACTTACCATTGAGTCACCAGGGGACTATCCAACTGATGAATCAGCCTATTCTGATCATTACTTTCTACATTTGTATTGTTTATTGATTTTTTACGTTGTGTATTTATAATAACTTTATTAAACAGAACTGTTTTCATTAAATAAGTTTCTTTTTATTTCTGACCTGTACAGCTAGCTTTCTTTTGATTAAAAGTTATTGATACCAGACTTTGTAAACAGACAAACAGAAGTTGGAACAATGCTTGAATTCATATAATTATTTTTGTCAAACCTTCAAAGAAACTTAAGTATAACGTGTCTAAAAGGTGTTTAAAAATGTTTAACCAGAAAACTAAAAACAAAACAACAAAAACACCAGAAATTTGTTGCCATATTATAAGAGTATCTGCTGTGGTTGCATATTATAAGAGTATCTGTGGTTGCATTTTATAAGAGTATCTGTGGTTGCATATACAGATACTCTATAATATGAAACTATAAATATTTTATATGCAACCACAGATACTCTATAATATGAAACTATAAATATTTTATATGCAACCACAGATACTCTATAATATGAAACTATAAATATTTTATATGCAACCACAGATACTCTTATGGTTTCATATTATAGTTTCTGTTGTGAACTTAAAACAATCGTTTAATATGTGCATTTGATTTGTTAATTGACAAAGTTAAATAAAATTATACAAAAGTAATTTTTGTCACTAAGTATCGTTAGAGGAGGAACAGGTAAGTATAATAACAACTTACATGATGAATTACACTTTGACTTTTATGTTAACTTACATGATGAATTATTACACTTTGACTTTTATGTTAACTTACATGATGAATTATTATACTCTGATTTTTATGCTGATGACTTGTACACTGATTTTCATATTGACCTACACGATAAACTGATTTTTATATAGACCTACCCGATGATTTTTACACTGTTTTATACATGATTTATTTGTGAGATTTAATGGTGAACTGCAAGATGAGTTGTATGGTGTAAAGATACTCCTTATGATCACCTACATCATGATCTAAATGGTGATTTGTATAATAACATACATAATAGCTTACACGATAATTGTGATTTCGACTCACAGAATGACCTACTTGATGAACTTTAAGATATGTTGCACAACTAAATTAACTTTCTGTTAGTGTGCCAAAATTAAATTAACGTCACATGCGACTAGTGTGTTATAAATAAGCTAACTTCACACTCAAGTATTATGTCATAACCAAATTATCGCCATATTCTAGTGGTGTATCATAACAAACTTAGCGTCTCATTCGAGTGGTGTGTCATAATTAAATTGGTGTGACATTTGAGTTGTTTATAATAGTAACATTAACATCACATTCAAGTGGTATTTGATAACTAAATAATGTCACATTTGAGTGGCGTGCCATAACTAAGTTCATGAAATATTCAAGTGGTGTGTCATAATTAAGTTAGCGTCTGATTCAAGTTGTTTATCATAGCAAAATTAGTGTCAAATTACAGTGATGTGTCGTAATCAAATTAGCGTCACATTCAAATGGTGTGTCATAATTAAGTTAGCATCACACTCGAATGGCGTGTGGTAACCAAATTAGTGTCATTCGAGTGGTGTGTCTTAACCGAATTAGCGTCACATTTCAGCGGTGTGTCGTAATCAAATTAACGTCACATTCGAGTGGTGTTTCATAAATAACTAATGTCACATTTTAGTGATGTGTCGTAATCAAATTAGTGTCTCACTCGAGTAGTGAGTCTTGGCCAAATTAACGTCATGCTTGAGTGGCGTGTCATAACCAAGTTAGCGTCATAATTGAGTGACGTGTCGTAACCAAGTTAGCGTCATAATTGAGTGGTATGTCAAAATTAAGTTAGCGTCACATTCGAGTGATGTGTCGTAACCAAATCAGTGTTACCTTCATGTGTTATGCGTCTCATTTTATTTTAACCATAAAAACAAACCATTCATAATTGTATTTCAAGTAAGCTTTTAAATCTTTCAATTTTTCTCTCTTGTGGGCTGATAGTGAATACTGGAAACAAGTACTAATAGAAACAAATCAACCGTATTTGAGTACAACTGTTTCGCAAAGTTCTTATAAAACTAAGACTGAAAAAAATTGGCCTTTAAAATTTACGTTACACTGATTTTTAAGAAATATTCTATGCCAAGTTTGGATTTCCATTACCTAACACATGAAAACAACTTGTAACTATGTGTTTGTGTGTAAATAAATATTATAACCAAACTATAGCACTGTGATACACAGAGCTCTAAGTTTAATGGAGAAAAATAAGAAACCTGAGATTTTGAGGTTTTCCTCGATTTGCTGCTGCTTTTTTTTTTGAACTATCACGGAGTGTTTTTCCGTTTCAGTGCGTTTCGTTTACGGAAATATACGCAAACAAGAATACCACAAGAAACGTTGACACTCCAAGATTTGATTTCTTCTTAGAACGTATCCGTCGTTTAATGAGTAACAAAATATTGACCATGTATTGCTTCAGCGATGAGGTTTCCATAAAAATGATTTTTTGTTGTTGTTTTGTGACTGTTGTGGGGCTTCGTAAAGAGAGGCCACGAAAACTGTATACTTCTCAGAAAGCAGCAGGTGCACGTTATTTTCTATAGACTTTTCAGAATGTCCGTTTCTATGGCAACTATTACTTCGTTTACAGAAGTCAAAATACCCGGTACATTACTGTCCATACAAAAATGAAGAAAGAAAAAAAATGTTGCAGCTTGAGATCGCTACTGACCTTCATACCAAGAATTGAGTATAGAGAAGCACAAATTCACCTGTCTACACACACACACACACACACACACACACACATATATATATATATGAGAGCTTCAATTGGTGACAACGCATTAACATGCATAACATAGAACCAAAAATTGATTAGATAAAGAAAAAGAGTAAAATGTGAAAACTGAGGTCCCGAAAGCACTAAAGATATGAAACGTGTTCTCTAGGAAGCAAATCTATGATTACAAAACTTGAGTACGTTATATCAAAATAATTTTCGATTCTCACCACGTCTTTACTGTTATTGTCGCAATGTTCAGTCGTGTTCTATGTGACAACCGTGCATCTTGAACATATATATGCAACGTAGTTTCCATTGCAAAAGGCTTAGTCATAAGGCTGTCATGCCCAATGAGAGTTTTCCAAAATCCATCTAGTATTCGTGAATGAGGGTTTTCCAGCACCCATTGCAACACTCCAATTGCACAAAGTACATAAGTGCTGTGTCCAATGATTTGACTGATATGCCTTTATATGGAATAAAATCAATACCCATTTCATTTTTCAGCTGCTTGAGGTATGTGACATATGAAAAGATAAGTCGTTTTTCCAGGTGTAATTCCTTTTAGATTATGTTTTGTGCTATTGTCCGGAACATGTGGATGGCTTTTGTTATTAACATTTATGTTTATGGATTCTAATATTTTACAAGACGCCACAATTTACTTACCATCACTGGGGAATGACTTGTTACAGGTCTCTTTCTTGATGGTCCTGTCTCCCTAGTTGATTCATATTCCTTGATTTTCCAATGCCATTAAGTACCAGGGATATCTCCGTCTTGAAAAATCTAAATTTTAGATTTGACACATCTTTATGGTTTGAGTGTTTGAATATTATACATGGGAAAGGCTGTTACATATCTTTCCAAAGCGATCAATTTTCGGCGGCATCACACTACTAACGTAACGCCAAACAATGTCAAAATTTAGTTCTCATACATTCGGTCCCACACGTCTTTACATCGGCTATGTTTGTTACGCGACTTGCATATTCAACTTAACATAATTTACTCAACCCTCTATAATAATTATAAGTTTTTATTTTAGAATTTTTGCGCATTAAGAATCAAACTGAAACATTGTTTACTGAATTAATTTTTAGTTCTAATTTATGTTCGTATTTTGTTTTGATCAGAAGTAAATGATAATTGGTTAACTCCTATATTAGGGCGATATCTTGATTTTTTTAAGTCTACCTCTCTTCAAAGTCTTGGAAGTACAAAAAATTGATCGGGCTCTTTTTGCATGAGTAGTTTCTAACATATTAATACTCAAATAACTGTATATGCGTGCATACAGTAATGATATATTCAACTCTTGGCGATATTACTCTACTTTATACTATATCTGCACAATCGGCGACACATTAAAAGTAAATATGAAACTTTATATTTCCAAACTTGTTTTTTTTTCCGATTACTTTTCAGACGCCGGTTTTGACAAAAAAAAACAACAAAAAAACGCATTACTTCAAGTTACTCTTTAAGCCAAAATGACCATTTAAAATGATCAAAAAGATTACTCACGTCAAAAACCGCAAGAGCATGAAAGTGATTGAGATGAGATTTAGTTTATCTTGAAAAATAAATTCACCACTTCAAACACATGTGTTTCCATAGAAACAGGGTTCGCCAAAAACTTTTAAGTGGTAGTCAAATATAAAAAAAAAACTGAGAAATAAGAAATGGATTTTCTTGACATTAAGGCAATAAAAACTGTTATCGACACTATGCACTCTTCACTTTACAGTGGCACAACTTCGACAGGAAAAGGTCGGTGGCAAAGCACCAGGAATGCAGCGAAAGCGCCATCTGTTGGAAGGAATTATGATTGACAGGCACAGCTTTGAAGACCGGAAGCGTGACATTGAGAATTGGCTAGATCGAACCGAATCTAGAGTAAAAAGACTGCCACCTGTAGGCCAAACTTTGGATGTTCTTGAGGTGCAGGTGAAAGAACAAAAGGTAAGAGTTTTCCTTCACATTAAAAGTTGTTCTGTAGAAATTTCATAATGGAATAATCTATTTTAAGTTATGTGTTTAATTGATCAACTAATAGTAGCTCAATTAAGTAGTTTCATTAGCACTAGCTTATTGCGTTAGCAATGATAAGCGACATATTATTCAATTAGTATTTCTAAAACCAAAATCCTTTAGCAGTTTAGGTAAAACCGAATTTTTCAGACCAATGCTACACGAATATGTTGTGGTAATAGTCTGAGATTCTTTTCTTTTCATGAATGATCTTACTCACATTTGAAACGAATTTAAATCTCCCTTAATAGATAATTTCAAATAGTTTTATCCACACAATTGACCAAAGTACAATGTGAATTCAGCAAGTGATTCCTCTGGGACTTGTCCAGAATATGACCAATATTTTATACACAAAATAAACAGTTTCAGCAAGTGATTCTTCTAGGACTTCTCCAGAATATGACCAATATTTTATACACAAAATAAACAGTTTCATCAAGTGATTCTTCTAGGACTTCTCCAGAATATGACCAATATTTTATACACAAAATAAACAGTTTCAGCAAGTGATTCTTCTGGGACTTCTCCAGAATATGACCAATATTTTATACACAAAATAAACAGTTTCATCAAGTGA